ATTCCCCTTGCGAGACGTAGACCATCTAGAATAGAGAGGAGCATTCTATGAATCCCAAACACACGCCCCATGTGATGTATGCTTTTGAGTAACTAGTGTACACGTGTTGATAGTCACAGCCCGTGGCGGGCCTCGCCCTCAGTGGCAGGCCTTGCCGTACTTGCGCAGGCGCAGGTAGTTGTAGGGCAGCGGCGCGAGGAAGCCGGCGCCCATGGCGACGACGGCGGCAACCCAAAAGGCTGGGTCATCAAAGCGGACCTGGCCGCCCGTCAGGTGAAAGTCGACGGCGTTGGAGGCCGCCTCCATGGTCAGCATGGAGAGGAGACTCATGCCGGCGGCGGTCCGGGCGGCGACGCCCCAGGAGAGCCTGTCGCGGCCGAGGCGCAGGAGGACAGTCTCAAGGGTCATGGACGAGGCGAGGCCGCTGGCCACTGGGGAACGAGGGGGGGGGGTCAGTCAGCAGTTGTTTCGTCACTTCTGAGGTGGCCGCAGAGAGCGGATGTCAAGGGCATACTCGCAATGGCCATGATGGCGCCGGTGCCGAGCTCGGGGTGGAAGGACTGGAGGAACCACATGGCGGAGAAGTCGCCAAAGGTGCAGCCGACGAGACAGCGCGTCGTGTTGAGGCCCGCCCTGCGCCATGTCGAAGGGGACCACCAGAAGTCCAGTGACGTCGGTGATGGTGTTGCCTTGGAACATGGTTTGGGGGGGCATGTTGAGGGCAATGGTGGTGACGCAGGCGACGACGCATGCGAAGACGAGTTGGTGGAGGCTGCTCTGTGACGTGATGCCATCGGTAGGACGACACTGCCGATGCGGTTCGTCCCAAGCCTAGACCAGCATCGTGACGACATTGTGCTAGTTCTCGGGAAGGCCATGGCTGGCGTCTCATCAATGTTGGTTCTACCCGCGTCGAGACGTGCTGAGGCGTGTGGCGGTATGCGGCAGATGGTTGCTCTCTGATCTGGAACAACGAGATGAAGTCGTGAGATGAGCAAGTTTCGCCGCTTCATGTCGTTGTGATTGGTCGTAATAGTACCGCTCATGATTGGTCGAAAAGGCAGGGCGGCTGTCTTTATCAACCAATAGGACTACTTACAAACGCCTGTTCACGATATAGACACGCCTCGACACCAAGATGGCCACCGTTCATAGTATAGGTCTTCGAACTTGGCTCGAAAAATGTTTCACTCGCAAAACCTATCGGCCTTGGGACCAGGTAGACACACCTCGATTGAAGTTGTATAGAGCAGCTGTCTCCAGTCAAGGCACAGACAAGGCACCACATAATTGTACTGCGCCACAGCTTTGGCCGCACGTCACTTCTTGCTGAGAACGAGCTTTGTTTTGCCGCACTGAAACACCTGGAAGGCGGAATCCTCACAGCGTTCGACTGGTCAGACATGCGGAAAGCTTCATGTCCGGCTTGGGCGTGTTTCATGTCCAAGGAAACCGTCTCAGTGCCCCGAATTCCGATTCCAAGGTGGTGGGGCGGGAGCAAACATGCTGTTTGCGCGTTTTGCCCATAGGGATCACAATCCCCCGGTTTTCGCGTTACACATGAGCTGGCAAGCCGCATGGAGTCCTCCTAGGGAAGAGTCATGTTTTCGCTAAAGCCCGGCTTGTGTAACGCAACTACAGCCTCGCTTGTGTCACGCGATTTGACAAGAGCAAGCCTCCTTGCCGGAACACGCCTCGAAGCATCCAGTATGGACGAAGGGCATTCTTCATCCTACTTGCCGTAGCGGAGATTTGCTGGAAAGCTATTCGATCCCACCGCCACCCCCGAGAGCGCTACAGGTCGTCACTCAAGATGTCACCAAGACGCCCCGATCCGAGAAGGGCCGAGCCGCAGATGGCGCTCACACTAGGCCCAAATCCAGACTCTGAAGAAACGCCTGACGGGGAGACTTCCGGGAGCGCTCAATGTAGTTCCAGTCTCTCGATCCCATGCAGACGCGAAGGAACGCGGCCGCTAGACAATATCTGCCTCAGGCATTCAGTGTCTTGACATCTCGATTCCGGCCGGTTGTTCATGCGACAATGACAGGGCAGCGTGTCCCACTGGTTCTTCTCCCATGCTGCAGACCCGGCCTGTGTCCGGTCGACGCAGGCGTGTATCGTGATTCGACCAAACTGTTGCACAAGTTTTTTTTTTCTTTTCTTTTTTCATTGTAGACTTTCTGGCCATGTATCCCCATTCTCCTAGTACGGCACTCCAGATTGGTCTGTGACGATGCTGGGGGTTGTCCTGCTGCTGCGCCCGAGACGTTGACTCAACGCCTCAACCAAAGATCGCCGTAGGTCTTGGAACACATGACCACTGCTCAAACACGTGCGGCCTAGGACCCGGACCGAGGCGTCCCTGGTGTCTCTCCCTAACCTTTTCATTGTTAGAAGAAATATTCCAAGTATCGCATCGGGTGCCAAGTACTATGACACGCGGCACTGGACTTGTGGGGGTGAAACGAAAATAAATTGCAATTTAACTACTAGACACGAGCGACAAATGACTGAGAAGTTCCTCCTTGCTCCAACAAATTGTATTCTGTGCCTCCAATAAGTGGCGTCACCTAATCTATGTGGCCTGGCATGCGTGTATCTCGCCAGCCCTCGTATTACACCACTTAGCGAGCTTCTGCTACAGCCAGGAGGCTCTTCAAAGCGGCCACAAAACGTTGGCAGACTTCATCTGAGACTCCAGCGCGCATCACTATCCGCAGAACCAAGACCTCCATGCCTCCGATAGGTAGCTTGCAGCCTTGAATTTGAATGTTCATTAGTCTGCACATCGTTTCGCGCCTGAGCACTAAGAACTTACAAGGAACACTGAAACCCCGCTGCATCAAGCCGTTGCTTATCCATTGCTCGTCGAGTCCCGAAAATTGACGTTGAACGCCTGGTCGAAGTCGGAAAACTACCAGGGGCAGACCGCTGCTACGGCTTGCCGCTGTTGCTCCTTGCTGGCTCTTGTTGCTGGCCACCGATTCTAGAGGGCCCCGGTACACGCCGTCGACGCATTCGAATAACCCTGTTTTCTCGAGGAGACGACCCAGGTCGACAGCGCGCTGGAAAGCTTCCTCCATGATCCTCTCGTAGCCGAGGCGACCCAGCCGGGCCAAGTGATAATACTGCAGCACCACGCCGTGGGCTGGCTGGGAGTAACTCAAGGTGACCGATTCGTTCTGCCCCATCAGGTAGTCAGAGCTGTGTACCATGCTATCAGGGAGACACGCCCGGTCACGCCACAGGACCCAGCCAACGGACGCCGTAGCCAGCCCAAACTTGTGTCCGGAAGCGTTGATCGAGGCAACACGCGAATTGGAAAAGTCCCTGCACCGGGATCAACCTCAGTCTTTCAGGGCACAGCGCTGTTGTCTTACCATTGTGTGCAGCCCCCGTTCTTTCCGAGAAACGGTGCCACAAAGCCCCCGCTAGCTGCGTCAACATGGATCATGATGTTGCGGCCCGTCGAGGCCTCGTGCTTGTCGAGCATGACACCAACATCCTTGACGGGATCGAAATGACCGGTGTATGTGCTCCCCATGATGAGCACAATACCAACTGGATCACGTCAGCCTATGACGAGTTGATCAAGGGCCACTAGGGCTCCTCAGACTCACTTGTGCCGTCATCGATCAGCGCCTCCAGCTGGAAGGGATCAACCACAAAGTTACTCGATGCGCTTACCTGAAGCGATCTGATTTGAACGTCGCAGGCGGAAGCGCCGTTGGGGACGGCCACGTGTGCGTGGCTCCCAACGATGATGTTGGGCTCGCGCGGGGTGTCTCGATCTGTACGACCAGCCATCCACCTCTTCTTCATGGCAAGGATGCCGAGAAAGATGGCTTCTGAACTGCCGGACACTGCAGATCCTACGGGAGCGCCCGCTGCTGAGACGCCCCATAAGTCGCCCAGAATGGAGACGCATCGGGAATGCAATCTTGGCGTCAGGTCAGCCATGCCAAGGGGGGTGCCAGCGTGCAATGCCTACTCGTCGATGCCAGGGTACTCGTGACGACAAGCCAGGTTCTTGGCGTAGTTTTCGAGCAGCAACTGTTCGCCGTGGGTATCTAGTGCAGTCGTGACAAAACTAAACGGATAAGTAAAGATAAAACAAGCTAGACATGGCGGGTTATCATGCGCCCAAAGGGCGGCACTTACCTTCCAAGGTTATGATGAGGCTTCGTATCGGGCTTCAGTAATCGTCTGATGTCGGAGGCAGCAGTATCTGGTGCAATCTCGTGCCCCAATCTTCCGTATGGAAGCACGTCAAGCGATGCTGAAGGACGAATATCGGCGAGAGACCCCATGATTAGATCTTGAGAAACGAAACGGTATGGAGAGCACAATGGATCGGGAACCCAAGCCACGACATGATCACTGCTGACGCTGGGGCATTTATCAGTTTCTCGCTCTCGTGCAGGGTTTCCATAATCCTCAACAATAAAGATGTTGTTAGAGTCAACCTTCGACGCCACCATACGGCGCGATGATGAACAGGAAAGAGTGATCGACAACATGATTCTCTTTCGATAGATTCCCGGACGACACGTAATCCAGCTAGGTATGTGTCTTTCCTGCGAGGACGATTTCACTGGCCAGAGCATGTATCGAGCCACACCTGCTAATACCGACATAATGTTGAGGGTGGCAAGTTCATGTCTCATGTATGAGTAGATTCACGCTCGCCTTGAGTGAACTCAGTGATCTATGTCATCCAATACCAATGAACACTGGCAGGGTAGACGCTTCTGACCATATGGACTTACGGGTCTCTGTTATTCTCAATCATTATGATTCACCGGCGTTCCTTTGATCTAGATACCTATATCATGCCGAATGTAAAAGTTCTGAAAGGACCCATGATTCCGTTGTGCGAGGGCTCCAGGGCAAAGAACGCCAGGGTGCCGAGGGGGACCCTCGTTCCATAGGCGGTGAGTCTGTCTCGAACCCTGATCTCACTCAGCATGAACCAATGAGAATCTCCTTGGTTGGAAAGCCGATTATAAGGATGAAAAGATGATGTACAGAATGTCTTTCATGGCAAGATCGTGTATCAGCCAAGGCCAATGATCGAGGCGGCGTCTATAAAATCCCTACACCTTTCCCCGCTAACTTCCATCATCTGCTGCAAGCTTTCACAATTACCTTCCCAACCACCAGATTCATACTTCTTACCACCGAGTTCATCATTGCATCAATATTATCAACATGGTCAGACGTCTTATCAACAGCGGCGACACCGTGGTTCTTCATCCTGGTGCCAAGCCACATGTAGCATCGCCAACCTCAGAGGGTTGCAATGCTCGGCAGGCGGCTGGTGGCCGAAACTCTCAATTTTTTGATATTGAGCTCAAGTTTGAGCCTCACGATTCCAGCGACGCAGGCACCAAAGTAATTGTGATATGGTTACTGTCACTTTACCACATGACGGGAAAGAGCGAGGTCGCTCTTGAACTTGAACTATGCAACAACACCACATCGAATCTTATCTCTGTAAGCTCGCGTCGGAATATTGGGATGACACTTGAGCCATGTGCCACCCCAAAAGATATCAGCCAGGCGCTCCGGCCCAACGCTGGCCAAGGCGACAACTGCCTCACAAACGAATGCCAGTCAAACTCTGAGGATGGTGTACACACCTTTGTCTTAACAAACAACTTCGCGGAAATAAGTTCATATGAGCTGCAACAGGTCCGTATAGCCCACAATCAAGTTGTTTATAGTGTAATTTGCTGACATGATCGACTTTCAGGACCAGCAGTCTTGCGTGCACCTCTGCTGTGACAAAAGCCTCATGACATTGCGCGTACAGTGGGCAGATGGCTCACAAGACCGAGACGAAATCGTTTCGACAATTGAACGAGTAGCATCTCATGTCTCCTCCCACTACGACGCTCCGATTAGTTCGATGCAAAGTCCTGCGTCTGGTCAGTTACGGCTCGCCAGTCTTAACCCTCCACCACCTGTTTGCACGGAACAAACCATCAACGAGCTTTTCCACGCGGCTTGCGTCCAATGGCCTTCAAAGCTCGCTGTTGATGCATGGGATGGCTGTCTCACATATCATGAGCTGGATGTCGTCTCCTCGCGATGGGCTAGCACGCTCGCCACTGAGGCTTCTTTCAGCGAGCAGAGGGTCCTTCATGTTTTCGACCACTCGCGCTGGGCCATTGTCGCCTGGTTGGCGCTCCTTAAGGCTGGTTGCGCCTGTGTTCCCATCGATACATCTGCCCCTGAGGAGCGTATCAAATCCATCGTTCGAAACACAGGATGTACCGGCGCGATCTGCGGTGCCGCTCAAGCAAAATCGCTAGCCGGTCTGGTTCGTCACGTCATGACGCCTGATGAGCTCAACAACAAAAAAGTCTCGTCAGATACCTATTACGGAGCCTGGCAAGATAGCTCCCCTGGCACACGCGCCTCCATGATCATGCATACGTCCGGATCGACTGGCGAGCCCAAGGGTGCCCTCCAGTCTCATGTGGCTGTTACCACCAGCCTTGTTCGTGTGGCCGAGGCACTTCATCTGGATGAGACGTCAAGGTTTCTTCAATTCGCATCTCACTCCTTCGACGTCAGCATAAGTGAAATTTTCACGCCGCTTTGCGTGGGAGGGTGCATCGTCATCCCCAACCCTGAAGACAAAGTCGCGAGCGTCGCAAAGAACATTCGTTCAATGCGAGCAACCCATGTTATCATGACGCCAACAGTCGTGAGAACGTTTACACCGAAAGAGGTACCAAGCTTGCGAAATCTTTCCCTCGGTGGCGAGCGGGCTTCGTCGGAGCTTCGTAAACTGTGGTCATCCCAGCTCGACCTCAACATCCTGTACGGCACGACGGAGACTGCTGTCTGGGACACGATCGCTCGAGTCACGGCTCAAAATTGCGACAATTCTCGCCTCATCGGCAAGTCCATTGGCAGCCGGGCCTGGGTCGTCCATCCCAACGACTGGACCATGTTGTCGCCTCTCGGTGTTGCTGGCGAGATTTGCATCCAAGGCCCGGAGATTGGGGACTATTACGTCGGCCGACCCGAGCAGACAGCTCGCGTCTTCAAGTCCGCCCCGAGCTGGCTACCGAAAGGAGATATGGATGACGCCAGTCACCGTATCTATCGAACAGGAGATCTCGGCAGAGTCCTAAAGGATGGAAACCTCGAGATCTGGGGCCGTATCGATCGTCAAATCAAGCTTAACGGACAGCGGATGGAGCCTGCGGAGATCGAAGAAAGCCTGATGCGTTTCCTGCCAGGCAATTTACGTGTGTATGTTGAATTGCTCCAGCCGAGAAATGGAAAGGCAAAGCTAGCAGCCTTTGTCTCCTACGAAGAAGATGCCGACCCCGCCCTCAGCACACTGACGACGCATCAAGCCGGGATCCGCAAGGCCTTTGACGAGGTGCGGGCTGTGCTACCCAGGAGCATGATACCCACCGTCACTGTGCCCTTGACAAAGTTTCCTCTGACTGTTTCCAAGAAGATCAACAGGCTGGAACTCCAGAAGCTGGGACTTGCGTTTTTGGACTCCAAGAAACAAGCCGACGCACCCAAGCTGCAAAACGGCCGTGCGAGCTCAAATGCCAACGTCTCCGATGCTCAGGCCATGGTGCAGAGAATCGTAGACTTCATCAAGTCCAAAAATGAAGGTTCCGTAGGTCCAGACATGACGCTGAACGAATCGGGCCTCGACTCTCTCGACGCCGTCGAGGTATCGTCTGGCCTCAGAAGAGTCGCGCAGCTCCACGTGCCAGCGTCCATGTTGCTGAGACCAGGCATCAAAATCAGCGACATCGCAGCTCTTTCCAATGCCCCTGAGAAAGATGTAGATCCAAAGGCAAGTCTCCAGGAGGAACTCGTCAAGTGGACGGTCAAGCTCGACGAAGCTAGCAACACCGCCAGTCGGGCCGTCCTCCTCACAGGCGCGAGCGGCTTCCTCGGCCGTGAAATTCTCCGCCAGCTCCTATCCCATCCCGAGCAGTGGAACGTCGTCTGCGTCGTGCGCGGCGACTCCCCTGAGCATGCCCGGCAGCGTCTGCTGTCGGTGGTGAGCAAGGAGAAGTGGTGGACTGCCGATTTCGAGCCGCGCATCGAGGTCTGGCCCGGCGATCTTTCGCTGCCAAAGCTCGGCCTCCGGCAAGCCGAGTGGCGCGAGGTTTTCGGCCTCCACGGCAGCACGCGCAGGGTGCACACCATTATCCACAACGGCGCTGTCGTCAACTGGCTCGCCTCCTACGAGGCGCTGACGGACCCCAACGTCGGGAGCACCTACGAGCTGCTCAGGGGTCAGCTGCAGTCGCACGACGCGCCGGGTCTCGTGTTCGTGTCTGGCGGGTACATTTCCGGACAGGAGGAGACGGTCGACGAGCTTGCGTCCAAGATTTACCAGATGCCGGGCTACGACCAGACGAAGTTCGTGTCGGAGACGATGGTGGAACATTTCAACGCGTCACTGGCACGAAACAGCGGTGGGCAAGCCTGGGTCTTCAAGCCGGGATTCATCATCGGGTCGTCCACCGATGGGGAGACGCAGACGCGCGACGCGTTGTGGCGCTTCGTCAAGGCGTGCGCCCAGATTGGGACGTACAGTGAGGAGGATGCCCGTAAGTGGATTCCCGTCGCCGGCGTGGACGCGATTGCGTCGAACCTGGTGGCCGAGCTGCCTGTCAGGCACAGCGACAAGACGAAGGAAGTGTGTCACAAGGTGCTGGCTGGCTGCTATCTCCAGGATATCTGGGAGATGCTGAAGGAGTTTGGCCTCGAGCTCCACCCCACAGCACACGGCGATTGGCTGGCGGCGATGAACACGAGAATGGAGGCAGACGGCAGAGAACATCCCCTCTTTCCTCTGAAGGATTGGATGGTCACATCTGAGGGATTCATGGGTACTGAGCCACCGAAGGATGGCCGTGTGACGGATGACGAGAATGCGGATGCGAGGTTGGCCGTCCAGAGAAGTATGGAGCATTTGATGGACTGTGGGTTCTTGGCTAGGTCATGAGTTCGGAGTGGTTTCCGCGCAATAGTCTGAAATTGTGTTGTTAGTTATGTAAGTTGTGCGATGAATACGCTCCCTTTACTTCAACCATATCAGCTGCAGTGGGGCCACGTCAACAAGTGCATGCATGTTCGACGCATACGCCATCGCGTTCTTCCCAAGTCGGCGACGTCCGCTTGAACAGTCGTGTTGACTGGGGATGAATGAAAGAAAGCTTTCCTGAGCTAGAAGAGCAGATCCACATATGAGCTCTCTCTTGACTATCTGCTTTGCAAACTTCACTGCGAGAAGTGCTATGCTTGATGGCATAGCCTTGACATTTCTGTCCGACAGAAAGCTCCGTCCCTGACATATGGCAGTGTAGTCCCAGACCCAGGACCCTTGAGGACTGCGTTCCAGAAGGAATGAGTGGAATAGATCTGTCGATCCAGCTGCATGAACAATCTCGGAAACGGAGACAGCGACACACGCATGTCGTCTCGATGCCGACGTGCGTCTCAGAATTCACGGAGATGAGAATCAGGGGCGAACGGTTGACAGACTTCTCACCGTATCGCTTCGCCTCTGCCAGGAACATCAAGACTTCTCGACCCAGGTGACAGTGAGAATTTGCTGTTCAGCAGGGTGGGGGTGGTCGACGGCGAGCCCCCCACGCCCATGCGTCCCGTCACCATGCGCCTCACGGAAGGAGTGCGGGAACATGGACGGGAATTGCGGTATTTGGCGCTCGCTCGACTGGGATGTCCCTGGGCCCGGGCCCGCTGGAAGCATGGGCGACTGGGCTCGTTTCGGCGCGCGGTCGTCGCCCAGACTGGACGATACGTGATGAGGCTCAAGTGAAGGGGAGGCAGGCCAAGGGGCCAAGGCGATGTCGTGGCGCGGCCGGAGGATTATTCGGCGGATCCGCAGGCGCGTTGTGGGTTTCGGGAGGCCTGGATGTGGGTGCGCGGAGCCCTCGGCCGGGTGGTGCGGCGGGCGTTGGGGGGTGCTTGGTCGGGCCGATGAGCGCTGTCCATGGATGGGCGAGTCAAGCGAGTTTCAGCGCGGGCACTTCTGCTTGTCGTGCTACGTTGCGACACGCGGGCAACGGGCGACGGTGGTGGTGGTGGTGAAGATGTCCGTCTGGCTTGGACAAAACGCCGATGTGCGAGACTGCATGGGATTTCAGGCAAGTGCGCAAGGAAGTAGCAGGACTTGAAGCTGGTGGATGTCCAACTGCCGAGGAGGGCAGGCTAGAGGTAGCAGATACATGGATGGAAAATAGCCAAGCTCATGGACATGTGGGTATCGATGTCTGGGCAAGGCATCAGGTTCACAAGCGAAGGATCGTGTGGAATACGCGGCCTCCGAGCCACTGCATCGGGAACAGACTTGTGTGAAGAGGACCCCGTCGCCACGCGAGTATTCAGCAGACGGATATTCCCCAAGTCAGCAGGTGATGATTCGGCCAAGACTTTATACCACGCTCCACTTGTGAGGCAGTTGTCGAGTTGTCGTCGTCTGTTGACTGCCAGTGCCAACTGAGCCCAAATCATTAAGCAGGCTAGGTTCGTATGGCAAGCCGGCCAGCCAGGATGGCAAGCGAATGAAGGGGAGGAGAGAGTCCGCGTCAAATAACGTTCAGACGGTCTATGACGATGATTTGGCCATGCGCAGTCAAAGGCCAGAAGAGGGTGTGGTGGATGAGATTCTTGTGTTTAAGAAACTGAGTGGCTTGGCGTTAGGGACGGCTCCCCCGCACGCTAGCAGATGCTGCCGCGTTCGACGTTGTCGATTGGACGATTCGGGCACATTGGCGACTGTGGTGATAGGCTAGGAATCGGCGTCGCTTGGAATACACAGATGCGTCCGTCGTTGATGACTTGGTAAGTGCAGGTCGCGTGCGGTGTGTGTGTTTCGCCAGAAGGTCGCCAGAAGGTCGCCAGAAAGGGATGACGCAGATGCACGCGAGGGTGGTGAGACACACGAATCGCTTAATTATTCGGGATCGGGAGACAATAAAGATAACGGTGAAGGCAAGGTGAGACGCGGAGACAGACCAGGCGGTGGGATTGGCTTGGTGTTGTGGTGGGTGAAAGGAGGAAACGAGAAGGATCCACCTATCGAGATGTGCCCAAGGCTGCGGCGCACGAATCATGACACAGCATAAACAGGGACAGACAGAGTGATTGGATGACGTGCGGACCCCGCCTGGATCCGCTCGCGCCAAGATCGGCTGCCGCTGCCGGCGTCAAGAAGGGAAACGCCACGGAGGTGTGCATGACATCATGGCTGCTTTTGGCGGGAAGCCACCCTCATGTCGGTACCGCCTTCCGATGCGTGCGTGGATGGGGTTGTGTGAGGCATCCATCCGTGATGGTCCATCTACGCATCTACGCATCTACGCATCCACGATGGCAGCCGGGAGAGACTCTCGCCAGCGTGCACACGTGCACAGCCCCTCTCAAACTTCGCCGTCAAACATGGATGGACTGGAGATCATCGCCGACACGCACAACAAGCATTGTCGCAGATAATTATGACACGAGGATCCACTGAACCACGCCTCCTCTTCGGTCTCACTTCGCTGGCTCCATCCACCGAATACCGCCCATTGACTCCATCACGCTTGGTCGTTCGGTGTCTCCAGCCATTCATCGACAAGTCATGTGCTCGATCAAGCTCTTGTCTGACTTTGGACGGGCCTGCCTTGGCCCTGCCGATGCGATGGGACCAGTGCCGCCCCTAGTTCGCCATGTTTTCCTTTCTTCCCTGCTGACTCCCCTCTCCACAACACGGCCGAGTCTTGGTCGACCGTTTCTCCATGCCGACTAGGAAAAAAAAAAAAAGGTTTGCTCCATTCGATATTGACGATCGTGAACCTCGGAAGGTTGCCCGCTTCTATCGGCAGGCCACTCGTGCCGTGGCCATCGCAATTGACAAGGGGCGGAAAGTGAACGTCGCCTCGCCCATCTACCGCGGCATCGCACCCCCGGCACTGATCGAAACCGGCCGGCAGCAAACAACAGTAATCACTTGGCCAGGGTCGGGTCAGGATGGTGGAGACGACGACAGGGGCCAAGCAAACGGCCAGCCTTGGGACAACGTCATGCTTGCACACACACACACACACACACTTTCGTTCGTTGACCCAAGGTACCTCCCCAACTCTTCGTGGTCGCTGGGAAATGATGAGAGTGGTTGGCAAAGCCCAGCGAGACCGGCGCGAGGGGATAACGAACAGACAGACACCATAACCTCAACGGTCACCAGGCGCCACGCTACGCCCCATCGAACCATGACAGATGCAGCCGCCCACCCCTGAGTTTGTGTGCCCACGGCTTCCCCGTGATCGTCCCCGCCCTGCCTCTCGACGACCTGACGCGACTCGTCTCAATCCCTAAGCCGCGACCCGGACGCCGTCAATGGCAGCCCACCACCCGGGGTACGTCATGGGCTTCCCTAGGCCACTCCGCCGCCGTGAGATCTCGTCACGTTGAGCAGGGCCAAGGTCCGTCTCCCAGCTTCGACGCCAAAGCCTCGTCAGGCGCATCTGCCCCGGACGCCATCCACCTCAGCCAAGCTCTAGGTCCGGGCCCCCAAACCATCCCGTCTTGTGCCCCAGTTGGTCCCCCCCCGCCCTCCAAACCCAGAACCCCATCTTTCCCACGCCACGAGGATGTGTCTCAATAAGTACTTGACCTTCTGCCCCGTCCACATATGTAGCACCGCTCTTGCTCACCTCGACAAAGTTCCTTTCCGACTCCGAAAGACGTGGAGCCGTCTACATCTGCTCGAGTCTTCCCTCCCTCCTACCCAGCTCGCAACATCCACGCAGCCAACACACAATTATACTCGACCATCACACGCACAACACACCTAACCACCCACCATGCTGGGCACAAAGTACGCGGCCATCTCCTCCCCGTACAGCTCTCCGCGATTATCCTTGCTGACAAGCCAGATCCATCAAGGTCAATGGCGCCGAGGTGGGCATCGAGTCGATCATGCTCGGTGTCATCACCAGCATCGGCGGCTTCCTCTTCGGATATGACACGGGCCAGATCTCCTCCATGCTTCTCTTCACCGACTTCCGCAACCGCTTCGCCACTGGCCCTCGTGACGAGGACGGCATCAAGACCTGGGTCTCCATCATTCAGTCCCTCATGGTCTCTCTGATGAGCATCGGAACCCTCATCGGTGCTCTCTCCGGCGCCTACACGGCTGACTGGTGGGGCCGTCGCAAGTCCCTCACCTTTGGCGTCTGCATCTTCATCGTTGGCAACATCATCCAAATCACCGCCATGGATACCTGGGTTCACATGATGATGGGACGTTTCGTCGCCGGTCTCGGTGTGAGTAACCTGTCTGTCGGTGTGCCCATGTACCAGTCCGAGTGCTCTCCGCGCCAGATCCGCGGTGCTGTTGTCGCCTCGTACCAGCTCCTCATCACCATTGGTATCCTCGTCTCCAACATTATCAACTATGGCGTTCGCAACATTCAGACCTCAGATGCCTCGTGGCGCATCGTCATCGGCCTCGGTATCTTGTTCTCTCTGCCCCTCGGCATTGGAATCCTCATGGTTCCCGAGTCGCCCCGCTGGCTCGCCGCCCGTCATGACTGGGAGGGTGCTCGCATGTCCCTGGCCCGCCTTCGCGGCATGAAGGATGACCCTCACAACACTCTTGTTGAGGATGACATTAACGAGATGTACAAGGTTCTTGAGGAGGAATCGCGCGTCGGCGTCGGTTCATGGATGGAGTGCTTCACTGGCCGTCCCGCACGCCTGCCCAAGCTCGTCTACCGTACCCTCCTCGGCATGACCCTCCACTTCCTGCAGCAGTGGACCGGTGTCAATTACTTCTTCTACTACGGCGCCACCATCTTCGAGTCGGCTGGTGTCGATGATCCTATTCTTGTTCAGCTCATCCTTGGTGCCGTCAACGTCGTCACCACGTTCTACGGCCTCTACGTGGTCGAGAAGTACGGCCGTCGCTGGGCGCTCTTCATCGGTGGTTTGTGGCAGGCTGCGTGGCTCTGCGTCTTTGCCTCGATCGGTGTCGCCCAGCCTCCCGACAACAACTCCACGACTGGCATTGTCATGATTGTTTTCGGCCTCCATGTTCATTGCCTCTTTCGCCGGGTACGTCCACTTGTGCCGCCAACGTCAGTCTACATGTGCTAATCAATTGCAGTACTTGGGGTCCCATCTGCTGGGTCGTCATTGGCGAGACCTTCCCCGTCCGCACACGCGCCAAGCAGGCCTCGCTCGCCACCGCTGGCAACTGGCTCGGTAACTTTATGATTGCGTTCCTGTCTCCTCTTGCCGACGCCGGCATCGGCTATGCCTTTGGCTACGTCTTCGTTGCCTGCAACCTGGCAGGTGCGCTCGTCGTCTGGTTCTTCCTCTACGAATCCCGCGGTCTTTCGCTGGAGAACGTCGACCGTATGTACGGCCAGAAGGATGTGAAGCCCTGGAACTCCAACAAGTGGGTGCCTCCCGGATACCTCACCCGTGAGACGCGCGACGAGGCCACCTTCCGTCGCGCCAGTGCAGCCCGTGGCAGCGTCGCCCACACGTCGTCCGACGTGGAGAAGGAGAAGAGGCACGACGACAGCCCTAGCGAGAGCCATCACGAGGGCATGTTCAGTGGTCGCGACAACCAGGTTTAAGCGAGCGGCCTGGACTCTTTTTCTGTTTCAATTTTCGAATGCTGTTGTCACTGCATCCTGGACAACTAGCGCTGGCGTCGCGCTTGGGTTTCGATTCTTGTAATCATCCATTTAGTTGTGTATAAAATGATGACGTTCATGACCCTGCTACCACGTTGCTGGCCTGCGACTATGATGATCCGTTGATTATGATCTGTGTACCTCCTTGCTTGCAAGGCCTCCACCCAATCTACTCCATGTACTGGATGTGGACCGGCCGGAACCGCCACAATGTCTACCTATTTCTGATCGAACAAACACAGACGTGATTTTCTTCTGCATAGAAGGCCATGAAAATATCTAGGTAGTAGTTAATATGGACATCTTGATTGTTTTTGAATGAATACAGTGATTAGGCGGGCAGCATGGAGCCATGTATGCAGGTGTGCAATAGTATGCTCTCATCCCACTGACCATTTGCACCTGCTATGAGCTCTTCTTCTCAGGCAGGTATCATTGAGGTATACAGGTAGGAAGCACCTGGCAGATCTATGTCAGCAGCACCTACTTATTATCTACCAAATATAGGTGCATTGTGCTTGCCTGTGCTGTGACTGGCAGTATTTGAGAAATCCGATGGAAGGATGTGAAGAGTTTACCTGTAAACATCTTTACCATTCGACACCTCATGCCACGCCTGTACATCACCAGGTCCATCGTCACCTCTGAAGGTCCTGCAATGTACCATGGCCAGTGTTCACTGCTATTTGCGACATGCGGCATCGTCATGTGTTTGTAAGTGAGGTCAATACCCTAAGCTGAGCTACTGGATGCGATCTGCTCGTCGATGCCCATTGTGTGCATCTGACCAGATGCATTGACACGATAAGCTAACATTGGCAGGTAC